CCGCCTCCTCCGCGGCCGCCCGTCAATCTCCGGGTTCAGAGGTGGGCCGGGGGCCGCGCCCCGCCCGCGCCTTAAAGCGGCCTCGGCCGCCGGGAGGAGGGGGAGCGAGGCGGCGCGGCGGGCGGCCTGGCCTCGGCCTACGGGGGTCCTCAGACGGCCGCCATGCGCCGCTCTCCTCAGGCCCAGCTCGGGCCCCGGCCCGTCCTCCACCTCCCCTCAGAGCTGTGCCCCCCAGCTTCCCCTGCCGCCCCCCGGGCTCATCTCATTCCCACCCTGCCGCCCCTCAGGCCACCCCCCACCTCAGCCAGCCTTCCTGCCGGCCCTCAGCACCCCCATCTCCCCTCAGCCTCCCCACGGCCAGCCATTTCCATGCCCCACAGTCCCCCAGGCAGCCTCTGTGCCTCCCCGCTGCCCCCCGCCAGCCAGCGGGGTCCAACTCCCCACGCTGTACCCCCCACATCCCAGGACTACAGTCCCAAGGGGATCCTTCCCTCTCAACTCTGAGGCCAAGATCTCCTCATAGTGCTGTTTCCTTCCTCTGACCCACACCGTCCCACCAGCGTGGGCCTTCCCAAGTGCATCGCGCAGGCTCGTGGTGCCACATCCCATGCCCAATGGACCCATGCCCAATGGGGAACAGATTTAGATTGGAGATTAGGAGAGGGTTCTTCACTGTGAGGGTGGTGGAGCACTGGAACTGGTTGCCCAGGGAGGTGGTTGAGGCCCCATCCCTGGAGATATTCAAGGTGAGGCTCAATGAGGCCCTGGGCAACCTGGTCTAGTTGGGGGTGTCCCTGCTGACTGCGGGGAGGTCGGACTAGATGACCTTTGGAGGTCCCTTCTGGCCTGGACAACTCTATGATTCTATGATTCTATGACCCACACCTGTCCAAGCTGGGCAGGGGAAGCCTGCAGAGATCCCAAAGCCACCGAGATTGTCGTTCAGACCTACCTGTCACGGCGCTCCTGATGAGGAAGCTCTTCCCCAGCCCCTTTCTGCAGTCCTTGGGATCTGAGAGTGTCCTGTGGCCAAAAAGACGTCTAGGCATGAGGTCCGGTAAGCAGGGACGACCCTGGGACTGGGCTTGCCTGCAGGATTGAATTTAAAAAAAGAATAAATAAAAGGTAGTTATGGTGATACAGGAATTTACTACGTGGGAAATTATTTCATCAGATCGCCCCTTTCTCAGATGTGAGGGTTGCCAGCTCCAGGCTCCTCGTTACCCAAGGGAAGACAGGCCCAGCCCTAGTCCCTGACCTCAGCATCAGTTGGGGAAGAGCCATTAGGTTGATGGCAAAGATAAAAGGAAAAAAAAAAAAAGAAAAAGGCAATTGTTTTGCTTCCACTCTTCCTTTCTAATGAAACACTTTCCAGTGTTTTAAGGAAAACATGACTTTTCATTTTGAAATTTCCTTTCGAACCATTAAAATGTTTTAAAGTGGTTGAAGGCGAAGTGAGATGTTTTGATTTTTGTCGCTATGAAATGTTTCACTCAACACATTCTTTGTGTTTCTTGATTTGCCAAAATTTTTCAAAGGTTTCTGCTTTCTCGCCCAAGACATATCTATATATTTTTTACTTTTTTGAAAAAGCAAAAAAAAAAAAATAAAAGGAGAGAAAAATATCCTTTATCTCTGCAGCTCCACAGGAAGCGGAATTTTATCCAAGAAACAAGGAGCCAAGGGACTCCTCTCCAAAGGTCCAAACTTTCAGACACTTAGTCATCCCTTCACTTGCTCGCTCACACACCAAGTCTAGACACAGGCTGTCTCAAACTCTGGCAGGGAGTCTCCCATCCCCAGAGGTCAGTCCAGGGTCTTTTGGGTTTGATTTTGAGCAGCTCCGAGGAAAGGCAGAGCAGCGAAGCTGAAAAGGGAGCAGTGGCTGAGGGGGACAAACTGGGACAACTGGGAACCAATGGGATGTGGTGGCCTGCTGGCCCCGCAGACTCTTGTATTGCAAATCCTTCCCCTGTTTCCCAAATCATAGAATCATAGAATTGCCCAGGCCGGAAGGGACCTCCAAAGGTCATCTAGTCTGACCTCCCCGCAGTCAGCAGGGACACCCCCAACTAGACCAGGTTGCCCAGGGCCTTGTCGAGCCTCTCTTTGAATATCTCCAGGGATGGGGCCTCAACCACCTCCCCGGGCAACCTGTTCCAGTGCTCCACTACCCTCACAGTAAAGAACCCCCTCCTAATCTCCAATCTAAATCTGTTCCCCTCCAGCTTGAAGGCATCATAACACGATGCCTCATCACAACAGGTAGACATGAGAGGGGGGGATGCTAGAGGACCTTTGGGGAGCCGGTACGGGTACAGTGTGAGGTACACGTAGGGGCGAAACGAGTTGTCCATGGGGTCAGTGAGCTCCAGGCAGCCCCACGGCATCTCACAGGGAGAGGGGCAGAGTGACCTGAGCCGCTCCAAGGGAAGCATCCTAGCACGGGGCCTTGGAGGAGCCATCGGGCCAATGCAGAACTGGCCAAGACTCTGCCTCTGCTGTCTGCTGGAATCTGTAAAATCCTTTCTGTCAGAGATAACTAATCCTGGGGCCTTTACAACACCTCTCCTGAAAAGCACATTTCATTCCTCCATCTCCTCCTGCCTTCCAAGTGCATGAGATTGCAATAGGTATTACCGAAAATACTCCCCATGGGACCCGACACCGGGCTCCCTTAAAACCCAAACACCATCACCCCTCCTTCCCCAAGACACAAGTGAGCGCTATGCTCTATTATCTCTACACCCACTAAATCTTTCTGAAATAAAGAATAAACATTTCCACCACACATAGTGTAAGTGTATGTGCCAAGCTGCATCGCTTCCTCTCCTCTGTGGTTGTTATAAAGTGGTTTTGTTTCAATGGTGAAGCAGATGGACAGATTCCAAGTCTGGCGTCCCCACTCCCTCCAAGCGCGTCTAACGCTATCTTTGGTTTATCGCAGATTCCTGAAGAAAATGTTTACGGGAGCCTCTTGTTTAAAATCTTGGCTCCGTCGCAGCATAATTCCTATTATTTATTAAATGAAAATCAAACTGTTGTTAATGCACCATTAGTGGCAAAGTGGAGCCCCTGAAAACGGAGGCCAAACACACTCCATTTCTCTGAGCACGAGGGAAGCATCCCCCCATCACCGTCGCTCAATGCTCACGCTGCCATGGGATGAAAAGTGGTCTCCTGGCCTGTGGCTCCTTAAACATTTTTTTATGGGGGAGAAGAGCCATGGAATTTTTTGCTTTGCTATCCAAAAACTGACATCGCAGAGTCAGACAGTGTACAAGGTTGTCCATAACACTGTCAGAGGGGCTTTACCTGAGACACTTCTGTGGCAATGCCCTTCTCCGTTCACCATGACCAGGTTTACTTTCCTTCCTCTTCTGCAATTTTCCTCTAACATATTCCATGGAAAAACTAAAGCCCTTCCTATTTCCCAGCCAGCTGTAGCCCCCATAGCACAGTGAGCTCCGTAGAGATATTCTCTCTTGGGTTGAAGTGCGGCAGAATTTACATTCCTAACCAGTTTTCAGAGGAGATTCTTAAATTTTCCCGGAAATGTTGTGTCGCTGCTTTGAACTGATTGTTTATTTGTCAATTTAGTCATTAACCTTCTCCCTTACTCCTTTGGCTTTTGGTAAGACAGAAAATGTCAAAGGGAAGGGAAATAGGCTCAGAATGATTTCCCCTGGCGAAGGATCCCAGTCCCCAGAAGCGAAGGGAGTTTTCTCATCAATTTTACCAAAGACACAGCTTCACTCACAGTGCCAGATTAAATCAGTGTTCAAGCTTTTGCAGGGTTTGTGTGTTAGACTTTAGTAAAGTGCCTGGGTCTTCTGGAGCGATCTCAACCTGTAGGTCCCAAAGCCCTTTACAAAAGCAGCTCAATACCCCGATCCCAGTTAAAGGAGATGGGAAGAACAGGCCAGGCAGTAGGAGAGCCAGATTCCCACTCAACCATTCCCAGCCTCACACTCAGTCCCCTCCACCACACTGACTTTACCATGGTAATATGGCAAATTCTATCAAGAAAGGCACGTCTTAATTAATGCATTGCTTATTAATATTTCCTGTTCACAAGATCACTACAAACAACCTCAGCACGGGTAAAATTCTACAACCGCAGGAGAGGGGATCAACTTCTGTTCACAAATAAATTCCTTGCATCTAAACTTGTCTGTTGCTTATTCAAATGCAAGTAACAAAATTCTTACCATCAAAAGTTTACCAAAAAGGAAAACGGCTTTTCCCAATAGCTGACATAAACATGTAAGTGCTACCAAACATATTTACATGTTTGAAATAGATGGTATAATTACAATGAGTTATAGTCAATATTCAGTCTTTCCCCGGTTTAAGTGCTACCTTCTGATACAGCACAACACATCCTTTAATTGTAATCACGTGCTCTTTCTTAGAGACTGTTGCAATTTTTTTTGCACAAAACCGTCTGTAATTGAAAAGAAAATGGCATTGTTTAAAATAAATTCTCTGCCCTTCTGGAAATAAACAGGTGACTTCCCTTACAGAATGTTCTATTTCTGGGACTTCTGCATCGCAGCAAGCCATCTGCAAAATCATTTTGGACGTTTTTCCAGACCCCAAACTTGAATTTCAGCAAGAAAATACAGGTTTTGAAGACTGAAAAAAAAAAATCCAACAAGGATTTTGAAAACAAGTCAGGTAAGAGCTATCAGAGGAAATATCAACAAAAGAAGCCATAGAGTCCGCCAATAAAAGCAGATCCATTCCGGACTCAACATAAAAGGTCTTTTTCCCCTCTTTCAGCCAATACTGATGTTCCTCAAAGGATACGAAATAGCCGTTAAATTCACTTTTATCTACTGTGTCTCACATTCTGCACAGCGCTTTTAAAAAGAGAAAGCCACATTAGAGGGACAAACACATGACTGTTTTCCACAGCTTTTCCATGAGATCTCACAAGTCGGGCCTCCAAATGAGACCTCCTCTTCATCACCAGCAGTATGGGCTCACTTTTGTAATAAGCCCGTTTTCAGATGATGTACTAAGAAGGTATAACCCTAAGCCTTCTTTCATGGGTGAGAAAATGGGGGGACAAGTAGAAGAAGGGCCTTACCCCTGTGAACCACCAGCAAGACCCGAGGTTATCACCCAAAGATGATCATGTACTACCTACCTTGATCACAGTGTCTGTGAGAGAAATCCCTGCTGCCTCATGTGAACTGTAGGTATCTAGAATGACTTTCATTGTGTCTCAGATGCAGACTCATGGTTTTGGGATGTTTTCCACCATGTCATCTACATTTAAGGGGTCTTTATGGAGTTCATCGGCAGGCAGAAGTTGGTTTCCCTCTCTTGAGTTTTCCACAGCTTTCCAAGGCCGAGAAGGGCTGCAAAGGAAGAGGGTCAGTTACAGGTTTCTGATTTCAGCTTCATAAAAGAAGAGTTTAAGGCAAACCCCAAAGACAACTCTCACCAGCTCTGCATCAAGGGACAGAGCAAATCCCCTCTGCAGCAGTAAAGTTGGTGGGAACTGTTGCCGCAAGTAAAGTTCCACCAAGAAGCCCCTTGCTGCTCTCTGAGCTCGAGCCCTACCATTCCATGTACCTCCTAAACTGGCCATCACCACAAAGCAGTGAGAAAAGAGGTCACAGTGAGAGACTTAGGTCTCTATGGCAGTAAGCAAGCCAACAGTTTCAATTTGCTGACTCGCTTCTCGATAAAATCTCCCCCTTGGCTTGTTCACAGACTCTTCCAGGTCTCTCTCATGGGGCTTTTGACCCAGTGTTCCTGCCGGCTTTCCTATTTTCAGCTGTCCTATCCTTTCTACACGACTGCCAAAGTTGGACCTTAGCCTTTCATTTCATTTTCATTTGGCTTCTTCCCCAACTTCCCATATTTGAGCACTTTGCTTATTATCAGTCTGGTCCCTCCTGTACTTTGTTCAGCTCCATTCTACTAATTGGTTCGAGCATGGGCCCAGCATTCCCTAAAAGAAAGTGACTTCCCCTCGCACGCAGTCACTGCCGCGCATTCAACACCCTCCCCAGACTCCCAGAGCAGGAGCAACACTTCCTCTCCAAAAGGAGCTGGTGCCCTTGACTGAATGGGTCTGAGACAGTGATCGATATAATCACTGATATATGATTGTGTCCCATATTGGTTCTTCACAGCCCAGGAAACACGTCCCCTGGCAGGCCCTGAAGGTTGTAGGACAGACAGGCTTCACAACCGGACATCCATTTTCACTAATGCTCTTATCAACAGCTTTCCCAGCAATATCCCTATATTGCACACCACCTTGGGGAGTGCCAAATTTCAAATAACCAGCAACCTAAAAATAGGATGTTCACTTTAACTCCTACGAATTAATATTATTTGGATTCTCATACAATCAGCCAAAGCACCACCATTGTCAATGACCTTGTCTTTCCGGAACACAAGTCACCACTGCTTCCCTGTGGCTCCTAGGTCATAAAGAGGTGTCAAAACCACTTGCTTCTCACTTGCGAGTAAGGAGCTGGTGCTGCAGAGAGCATAACCACAAATCACAGCAGCAGCTCTCCTGCCCCTGGACCCAACCCAAGTTCACCAAGGACTTTACTTTCACTGGTCGACTGGGCAAAAAAAACCCGCAAAACTTAATTTCTTACCACGCTTTCCCAGGAGGAAAAAATCTCACCTAGAATTGCTGTCAAGTCACATATCGTATCTCACCCCAAAAAGATTTAGGCAGGTTAAGCCTGGAAGAAAGAGAAACTATCAAGGGCTGCTTGTTTGATAAGGGCACATCTATACTCCAGCAGCACCTGGTTACTGTGGGACATGTGGAGCTAGAAGCTGTGCTGGGGGAGCAGGTTGCCCACCCTAGGCACCGTTCTCCAGAGGGGAAGCTAGAAAGGACAGGTTGTCACTAGCTCTGAATGAGAGCAAAGCCTGCAGAGTAAAAACTGCATCTTGCAGTGAGCTCAAAGCCACCCATCACTCACATTGCGTGGGCGGCCCACCGACCCCATCAGCTCAGCATCCGTGAGGGAGGGAAAGCCACAGCCCTGAGAATGGAAAGTCAAGTTCACTGGGATTGCGGCTTTGGAAGGAGATCCTGTCGAGCCAAAGGAGATGGAGGTCTTAGACACTGCCCTGGAACAAGCCTGCAGCCTCCCACACTCGTCTATTTCAGCTTCAACCTTCCCACTCTCCCTTTAATAAGTGCAAAAGTCAAGGTGTCTAAGGGATGGGGGTCTTTGGGAGAGGGTCTGAAGATATTTGTCAGAGGACTGGGAAAAGGATGAGGGTACCATGGTTATGGCAATGGGGAAGACAAAAGGACACACAATGCTCAAAAAGATACCAACAACTCTGGCACACTGAATTTTCCCCAGTCTCATACTGGGGAACATCCCCAAAGGATGTAAAGTAATAAACCCTGTTTGAAGCAGTACCGATTTACTCACAGCAAAGACCTACCTTTCAAATTTTAGAGGCCCAAGTGGGTGTTGCACTGGAGCCTGAATTTCAATGCCCAGGCTGGGAAGACCCCACCTGGCTCACATTGTCCCAGCCTCAAATAAAAGAGCAGAAACTCCTCCCCTGTTCCAGGCTGTTCAGCCCCTTCCTCTAGCTAATTGTTCTTTCCCCAGTTGGATAGTCTATTTCGGGAGACTTTCAAGAATTAGGACAGAGAAAAAGACAGAATCACAGAATCACCATGGTTGGAAGGGACCTCTGAGATCGAGTCCAACCTTAAAAAAAACACCCAACAAAAACCCCCCCAAAAATACCAAATAAAAAAAAAAAACCCACAAAACAAAACACCCCACCCACAAACCAATAATCTCAGGCATTAGAGCATGCCCTGAAGAGCCACGTCTACACATTTCTTAAATACCTCCAGGGATGGTGATTCCACCACCTCCCTGGACAGGCTGTTCCAGTACCTGAACACCCTCTCAGTAAAGTAATTCTTCCTAATATCTAATCTAATCCTCCCCTGCTGCAACTTCAGACCATTTCCTCTGGTCCTGTCATTATTCACTTGGGAGAAGAGGCCAATACCCACTTCTCTACAACCTCCTTCCAGGTAGTTATAGACACTGGCAGAGCCCAAGGAGGAGCAAGGAGAAGTGCCAGGTGCCCACTCTCCCCATGGAACAGGCAGCATCAGGCTCCCAGAAGCCAGATGGGGATGATATGGGAGGAGAGAAATGGGACCAGTGTCCTGAGAGATACAGACTGCCTTCCCCAGAGGAAAGAGAGGAGAGGCAAAGAAAGCCTCAGCCTTTTCGTTTTGCAGGGAAGGAAACATGGGTGTTTTATAGCCATTGACCCCATCTCAACCGAAATGCATGAGCTGTGACCAGCCCAGGGGTGGGCAGCAGATGCAAAAGCAGGAAAGGAACACGTGCTCACCCAAAGGTGCCCCATACCTTCTCCCCAGAGAACTGCCCCAAGCATGCAAGCCAGAGTTTGGCGTGTTAAACCACCCCTAGGCCAGGCTTCACACTGCCTCTACTGCAAAGCCCTCAGCTCTGCCCACAGCAGCCAACAAGTCTGCTGACTCCTAGTTAACCCCATCTCCCACCCCTGCTCCATCTCCTCTCCCAGCCTGCTCAATGCTGGGAACTGGGAAGGCAAATCATCCCATCAAGACACGCTCTCAACATCCATCCCTTTCTTTTTCAACTTCTTGCTCCCATTCAGCTGGGACAGAGTCTGGCTGAGAAGGGTCAGACTCACCACATGAATCCCAAGGCTCAAGGTAAACCAGCGAGAGCAGTTTCCAGAGCTTGGGCTAGAAAATGGGGAAAAAACAGGCACATCTCCTGAACCTCAGCAGCTTGCCGATCTTGTGACTTGAAACCAAGGCTCAGTCAGGGACTGCTCAGAGCTAATAATAGTGGTTATTTGCATTTGACCTAAGGGTTGGAAGTTTTAGGCAATCACTGTTCCAGATAACAAGAACGGGGACTTCTTGCATGTGTGCTCTGGACACATCTGGCCAGATGCTGCTCCTGGGCACTGCCCTGTGGTTGAAGACAAAGGCATGAGTCCTGATGAAAAGCAAAAGCAGAGCTATGAGAAATAGCAATATCCATTCCTCCCATAACAGCACCTCCAACCTGGCTGGTAAAGAAGGATGGAAGCTTAGCCAGGACTGGAGCACAGGGCAAACCACTGCAGGTAGCACCATGCTGTACAACTTGACCAGAGAAGTGTTGTTTACCAAAGCACATTCAGCCTAGTTTCATAGCCTCCATAATGTAGCATTCCCCAGGCCAGTGCTTGGTGGATGGACTACAACTGGACCAGCAGCTGCAGGTAGAGCTTGCAGTGCTGCCGTCAGTCCTGGAGTAACACAGTGGCTCCTGGGAGACTCCACCATCACAGGCTGCTCTGGAAGAAGACAGTCTCTGCCAGATTTTCACTGCAGGCAGGACAGGGACCTTCACTGCACAATACACTGTTCATCTGTGAATGGACGGACATAAGCAACAGCAGGGGACCTTCACTAGGATCACAGTTGGGTTCACAGCGGTGAAGACGTGCCTGAATTTTGATGTCAGGTTATCAAAGCAAGTATTTTCAATGTTGGAGCAAGCTAGAGCAACCCCCACAGTGTAGACTTGGTTAGTCTGACTCTGTTCAGTGATAGGTCTTCCTCTACACCAGAAACCCAAGCAATACTAGTGACATGAGACTGGCTTTGCATTAGATTTAATCCGTGGAGCTGTGATCAGACTCTGACCCTAGCTTTTAGACAGGTTTTTTATGGTCTCCCCTCACCACCACTTAGCTCCAGCCCCAAGCACTGGAATAACCAAATACCATCAATTAAATTGCCTTAGAGGAAACAAAACGTGCATTTTTACGGTCCTGAGCTGGAGCCCTGTTCTCATGCTTCATGATGAAAGGGGTCCTTTAGGCTGCACAAATCACTTGCATTAAGAGGCAAATATTATTTCCTGCTTTTTTCTTTGGAACCCAATGCAGTTGAGAGAATTTGTAATGTGGAATCAGAGGTCCCCTTAAAACAAGAAATCAGTGTATCTAGTCCACAGCCTATGTACGACTTAATGGATCCTTCATAAAGGTAGAAGATCGGTCTTGATTTGGTGCTGGAATTGCAGCAAGGAAAATCCATTGTGGGACACAAAAATCCCTTCGTGATGGACTAGAGACAAAAAAAATTATCAAATTTCTGAGTCTTCTCATTAGGCAGGTGCTTGTGGAGCACACATCTCTTCCCACTTGCTCTAACACTCTTCTTCTGGCTAAAGAGGACCCAGCTACAGTGTTTGTTGCACACACATGCACACCCAAATCCCACATGTGCTCTTTCCATCCTGTTTGAGGCACGGCTTCCCAGGCTGTATCATGTGCAAAGTGAAAT